CCTCCTCCACCACCTCCTCCTCCACCACCTCCTCCTCCTCCTCCTGGCCCCGGCACATTGCTTGCAGTACTTTGCACATGAGAGACAGTTGCCCTGTCTCATCAGGGGATCAGCCCATAGACTATGGAGAGAATGGGGAGCCGGCAAGTGGCCACAATGTACTTCACCTTGAATTGCACAGTATTGCACAAACAACCCAGTTGGACCCAGGTGGGAAGAGAGAGAAGCCAGGAAGCAGCCCATCTCACACCAGTAGGGCTAGCAGAGAAGCAGAAGGGCCAGTGGTGGCCAATGGGTGCAGGGAGTCCCCCGTTCCGCAGACACTGCTCAGCCCTGAGCCCAGCAACTTGAGCTCACAGGAGATGACACCCTGTGGGAGCAGCCAGCTCAGCAGCACCTGCCCAGCCAAAAGGAAGTTGCTGCCTGCTGGTGAGGTTATGGCTGACTCCTGCTCTGAGGATGAGAGCCTGTCCCCACCAGCAAGGAAGAAGAGGGTCCTGCCATGCCATCCTGTGCCCACAGCCTGCCGCAGCACAGATGCCAAGGGAGCTCCGTTCTGGAATCACCTGCTTCCTGCAGCCAAGGTAAGCATTGCTCATGTGGGGAAGTAAGGAATGGCCTGGGGATGCCCAGAGCTCAGGACTGTGGTTGTGGGCAGTGTGGTCCACTGTGGCACCATGCCCTGTCCTGTCCCTGAGTTGCAGTACTGGTGTGAACAAGGCAGCAGCTGACAGTCAGCCCTGGCACACATGGTCTGTTTTAACAAGCTCTTGACATCTTGTAGTCACTGGATCCTCTGCATGCAACTGGCTTTTTCTCCTGGAGAGCCTTGATTGGACAGGAGACAACCTCCGTGTGGCAGTGAGAGCTGGACATGTCATGAAGCCACATTTGGTGTCTGATGGCTTCATGTTAAGATATGAAATACCGGCAAATTTGGGAAGAGCAGCTGGCCACTGCCTGCCTGATGAGGAGGAAGGCAGATGTGTGGGGTGGCTTGAACTCCTGGCCATGATGCCCATTAGAGCAAGAGTCTGCAGGCAGTGGGAGTGAACATGCTTTGACCAAGGAGGCCAGTGCTGTATGCAGAGATGCCACTGGCTTTTCTGCCATTTGGAGGTGCCTGTTGCATATGCCCAAGGTGACAGCAAAGGGGCAGACCCGTGAGGTTTGCAACCTCCATAGCAGCTCAGGAGGTGCCTCCAATTTCTCCTTTCTTACCTTGCCCTTCTTATTAGCCCCCTGCCCTCACCCTGTCCTGCCAGGTGAGGCTGCAGCAGGCTCAGGCCAGATCTGGCACCTTCTTTCTCTGGGGCATCCCAGGGTGTGGGGACCCACAGGAAATGATGTCAGAGCTACCCTGGCTTCTTGCTGCTTGGAGCTGGGACACAACATCCATGGCACATGTCTCCATCCCTGCCTGTCTTTTTGGTAACTGTCCCCCAGCCCAGCTCCCCCCAGCACTGTCCATGCAGAGTGAAGCCCTCCAGCAGCTTCCCTGGTTTTTCCCACCCAGTCATGTCAGCCAGGTCCATCATCCCTTTGTGTTGTGCTGCCCTTTGTGTGGCTTCCAGAAGGGAAAGCCCCTGAAAAAGGGACATCTTTAAAAGGAGGCTACAATGTGACTGTGACTGTAGGATCCTAGCTATGGGTAGGGGTGGGCAACACACCCTTCTGCCTGGTGGCACTGCTGAGGACTTTGCATGAATTACCGGGGGACAGAACTTTTCCAAGGCTGGTCAGGGAGTGTCCTTGTAGGTGTCACCAATCCCTGTGAGGTGCGAGGGGGTGTCATTGTGTGTCTCTGTCTACAGGTGTCTTGTCACTGGGACTACTCCTGAGACCTGCTTTGTAAAGAGGGAACAGTGTGTTGTACCTTTGGGTACCAATACCCTTATTCCCAGCTGAGCCACTTCGGGGTTTGGGCAGCCCCATGTCCCCACCAGATGCCACAGTCCTCGTAATGCCCTGCTGGCCACCTCTCCAGAGGCTGCTGATGGCTGCCCAAGGAGCCTGTTCCATGTGCTGGGACCCAAATGGGAATATGGGGCAGGGCAAGGGCAATGGCACCTCCCAGGGGTGCATGGGCCCTTGTTGCTGCCCTAACTTGGTTCTCCATTTTGTGTCCCCTCCAGAGCTCTTCAGATTGCACCACAGTTGGGAGGAGGCTGAAGAGTGGGCTGCGTCTCAAATCGTGAGTTTCCTGTCAGCCCCGTGAGATGGACATGGGGGTGCAGGGTGCCTGCCCACCTCAGTACCCTGCAGCCCCATGGGAGGTTCAGGTTGTGTTGAGTCCTCTTCCTGCCCTGGCCCAGGTATCTTCTTTCCACAAGACCACAGACTGGGGCGGGGGCTTTCTACTTCCCCTGGGATGTAGGAAAGTGGGTTCAACCTCTAGCAAAGGTACGGGGGACCTAGACAGAGATCCATACTCCCAGGGATATGAACACCCCAGGACTGTGTGCTCTTCAGTTCAAGACCTGCCTTCTCTCCTCACTCCAAGGCGACATCTCCGAACCAGCCTCCGGAGGGGCACCAGGTCCCCTACAGTGCCCTGGGCCACCACCACTGTCAGCCATGCTCTGCTGGGCAACTTTGAGGTAATGGTGCCCATCTGCTGGGGGGAGGTGGGTCCCAGGGGCTCCACACAGAGAGCTCCACACAGGGAGCTCCACTCAGTGATGAGTGTGAGAGGCTGAACCTGATCGGGAGCCCTGGCTGATTATCCCCAAAAGGCCTGGCATGCCACACAGCCATGGCTCACTCAGCCAGCAGATCCTTGGGTGGAACCTGCTGAGATAGGTGCAATGAGGCTGAGCTGAGGCACTCTTGCTGCTCATCTCCCGGTTAAGATGGTTGGTGCTATCCCAGCAGTTCAGGGTGGGTCTGTCTCAGAGTGAGGTCAAGCAGGCATGCAGTCACTTGGGTGTGGTGAAGATGGGAATGACTTCACCTGGAGCAGTGAGGCAAGGGGTAGGGCTGGTGTTTGAGATTCCCTAACGCTTCCCTCCCCTCTCAGGAGTCCATCCTGAAGGGGTGCTTTGCACCATCAGGGAGGATCGAGGGTTTCACGGCAGAGATCGGTGCCAGTGGCTCCTACTGTCCCCAGCATGTCACCCTGCCTGTCGACGTCACCTACTTCGACATCTCTGAACACAGCGCACCCTCGCCTTTCCTGGTACATGGATGTGGGGGAGCTGTGGGGGGCTGTACCCTGGCACCCTGGGGCAGCCGCTCACCGCTTGCTGTGCTCAACCTGTGCTTGTTGATACGGCTGCCTTTGCCAGGAGCAGTTTTTAACCCAAAAAAGCAAAAACGGAAAGAAGAGGCCCTGCTGCTTCATGGTTGTCATTGTCATCACCTCTCTTGTCACCACCTCTCTGTTGCTTCTCCTGTTTGGAGAGGAGCTGAGCTGGGGGTCTTCTTGCTGACTTGTGCCAAGTGTTCCCAGTGAGGGAGTCACAGGCCTAGGCTGGTTCCCAACGGGGCTCTCCCTTGGCTTTCTCCCTCTCTCACACATTGTTTATTTTGCCCCAGGGAGTGATTGACTTGGAGGCCTTGGGAAAGAAGGGTTACAGTGTCCCCAAAGCTGGAACCATCCAAGTGGTGAGTCATTCCCTGGCCTGTGGGGATGGGGCTGGTTGGGCTCTGGTTGCCCTGCTTTGGGGGGGCATAAGCTCCATGACATTGTTAGGCAGGGCAACAGCTGGAAAGGGTGTCTCCTGCAGGAGGTTATGTGGCCACCAAGACAACATAGCGGAGGAGAGCATAGGGTGCTGTCAGGGAGACAAGGTGATGGGAGAATCAGGGAAGGAAGAGGTGGGTGAGGGTTTGGGCAGAAAAGTGTGTATGTGCAGTGGGAATGGGATGTAATGGAAGAGGAGCACAGGTGTGAAGGTGGGTGAAAAGGACTGACCTATGACACTCAGGTTAAGCCCTCTAAGACTGGTGTGGTGCTTTCTGGATCCTTGGCCCAGCAGCTTCTGCTCCCAGATGCCCCATCTCTGCCCTCCATCCTTCGCAGTCTCACCCCATTCCCCTCTGCCCCCAGACCTTATTTAACCCAAACAAGACTGTGGTGAAGATGTTCTTGGTGACATACGACTTCCAGGACATGCCGGCCAACCATATGACCTTCCTACGCCATCGCATCTTCCTGGTGCCCGTGGGGGAGGAGGAGGGGTCCACAGCGGCCCCCAGTGACCCATTGGGCACCAGCCCGCCCCGCAGGGTCCTCTGCTACCTGATGCATCTAAGGTAAAGCATGCTGGGGTGATGGGCACCTGCCCCAAGGTCACCTGGGCTCCTCTCCGACATGTCCCAAGCCTGCAAGACAGGAGAAGGGACTAGGGAGGAGGAGGGACCAGCTGCTCCTTCGGGGAGGCTGGAGCTGCCACCTTGCCCAAGGGCAGCTGTCTCTGTCCCACTGAAGGCAACCAGAGGCCAAAGGGGCTTCTTTGACTGAGGGCCAAAGTAGTCAAGGGGATTGTGCTCTCACTGAGGATGCCCTGCCCTTACCTGGGAAGCCTGAGGTCTCTCTGCCCTGCTCATCTCCACACAGGTTTCACAGCTCCAAGTCGGGGAAGATCTACCTTCATGATGACATTCGGCTGCTTTTCTCCCGCAAGTCGATCGAGGTGGATTCGGGGATCCCCTACGAACTGAAATCCTTCACAGAGATGCCGCGGAACCCCTGCTACTCACCCCGGGCCTGACCTTCTTCACCCCAGACCCCAGGGCCACTGGGGAGCCTCCAGCCCAGCACTTTGGGGAGAGATGAGTAAAGGGCCAGCACACACTGCTTTGAGATAGCACCCACCCTCCTGACCAGCATGGACACCAAGCTCTGGAGCTGGGCTGGGATCACCCAGGGGGCTTCACCAAGAGGGGCAGAGGCTGAGGAGCAGCCCTGGCACTGCAGGGACATGCCCAAGCCTGCTGCTGGCACTGCTTCCAGCCTGTAGCCTTTGCTGTGGCTGAGGTGGGTGGGTGTGGAGTGAAGGGCTGGACTGGAGCTGTGAGTAAGACCACCCACACGGGCCCCAGGTCAGGGAGCAGAAAGTGTGAAAGAGTTTGTATTTATTAGTATTTATTGTTGCTGGGAGCACAGAGGAGGCTAGTGTAGAGGATCAGAGGTGCTGTGCTTGTTCTTCCCCCCAGCCCTGCCTGCACCAGGCTGCCTGTGTTCGAGCAGGGCTGTGGGGACTGCGAGAATGACTAGGGACAAGGATGCCTCAGCCCATGCAAGGGAGTGTGACCCCATGTTCACACAGGGTGCAGGTCAGGGGTGTGTTAAAAGCCCTGTGACAGGCTGAGCCTCTCTGGCACCAGCTTTGCAGGGCCAGCCCAACTCCAAGCAGTTTGAGGAGGCTGCACTTATCTTCAGTCTTTTAGGGCAAGCCAGACCCCAAGAGGCCTATGGCTGTCAAGGAAGTGGCCACTGCCAGGTTCCTGAAGGTAAGAGACACAGCTGCCACGTGGATGGGGACCTGGGGCTCTTTGCAGGAATATGGGGATAGCCCTCTGGGCAAGAGCCTCCAGAGCACGTGAGCTGTGGACCTGAGAAGATTGCCAAAATAAAAGGAACCTTGCACTGTCTTCGGGTGTGGGGTGAATCCCATGCAGGAGGCAGCTTTGGGCAGGGGTCTGCCAGCAGCATGATCAGATGCGGGAGGGTGGTCAGTAGCCCCAGCTTACTCCTTGGGAAGTGGGGAAGCAACAGAGGATATCAAACTCTGGGAGCTGGGCTGGATCCTCAGGAGCAGCAGGACTGGGAGAATCCAGACCGGGGCAGTCAGAGGGGAAGGGCCAAGGGTTAAACAAACTTGCACATTCCCAGTCTGTATCGCCCCTCTGCCTTCTGAGGGTCTCAGCAAGGCTCCCCCTGCCAGCCCAAGCTGAGGGGATACTCAGCCCTTCCATCAGAGGGAACAAGAAGGGGAGAGGCGCGACCCCATCAACTCCCACCCCTGGGGCTGAGACCCTGGCGCGGGGTGTGGGGATGGGCCAGGATTGGGGGGTGCGGGGGTGAGGTCCTGCTCTGCCCGGCCCGGGGGCGGCCGAGGGGCTCCGGCCCTGCTGCACTGGGGTTAGGAAGCCTGAACCTGCCCCGATACTGCCCATATACTGGGTTCCTGACCCCCCAAACGGAACCCCCTTACACCGGCGCTTGCTCCCCTCACACCGGGGCCCTGAATCCCCCAAACCGTGTATCTGAGCTCTCCCCCAGCCGGGGGTCTGAACCCCCCGACACCGGGGGCCGCTCCCCTCACTGCCGTGGCCAGCGGGACTCGGGGCGCGCCACGACACCGGAGTCTCCCTCGCCCCCAGGTCACCGGGACTGCCCCTCTCGCCGTGGCCCTGCGGGCTCGCGAAGGCCGTGCCGGTGCTTCCCGTGTTCGTTTCTAATTTAATAAACGTCCATTTGGAGCTCCAGAATGAGACCGGGGCTGGCGCCCCCGAGGGGGGCGGTGCAGAATCGCGGGCGGGCGGAACCGGGGGCCGCGGCCGGAGGAGCCGGAGGGGCCGATCCGGGCGGCGCACCCGGAAGTCGCGCGGCGCAGGGGCCTTCCGGGAGTGCGGGAGCGGCGGCGGCGGCGCCGAGTGGGGCGGGCGGAGGGGGCGATGCTGTCACGGGCGGGGATCCGGGCCCGGCCCGGCCTCGGGCTGCTGCAGGTGCGGGGAATGAGGGCGGGTGGGGAGGGGACGGAGAGAACTCGGGGTTTGCCCACGTGGGGAAGGTCCGGGTAGCGGGTGCTGGAGGGGCCAGGAGAAGAGGTCTGGACTGGGGGCACCGGGATGAGGGGGATGGTGTTGGAGTTCTGGGAAATACTGAGGGGGAGATGCACAGGGATGGGGTAAAGCGGTGTTGGGGGGACGCAGAGGACGGACGGGCGTGGGGGGTCGGAGGTGGGGGTAGTGGGGTGGTGGTTTCGCGGGTCCGAGGAAGAGGTGAGGAAGAGTTGGGCAGGATGGGGCTACGGGGCGGGGAGTTAGAGGTGTCTGTGGACAAATGGGTATCGGGGGATTGAAGAGATACGGGCGGTCTGTGTTGTTGGAGCTCCGGGAAAGTGCTGCGGTGGTGGTGAGGAGCTGAGCAGGAACAGGGCTGTGAGGCTCAGCGGGGTGGAAAGGATAAATGGGTGCGGGGGGACTGAGAGGGAGTCGGTGGTGTGGTGTTTGGGGTCCGGTGAAGGGCTAGCAGTGTGGGGGCTCAGTCGGGAAGAGCTGGGCAGGGACGGGGGAAGGGGTGTGGTGGGTGTGCTGTGGACAGGCGGGCATGGGGATATTGCTGAGGGTCTGGGGAGAGCCAGGCAGGGATAGAGGTGAAGAGCGGGACGGTGGTGTAGAGAACGGGCAGGTATAGAGGCTGAAGAGTGTGGTCAGTGGGGGAATGTTTGCGGCTGGGAAGAGCTGGGGGGTGGGCAGGAGGATGGACAGGGATAGAGAGTAGGGAGGGAGAGGAAGGTGGCGCAGAGGACAAATGAGTGAGGAGGTAACTGAGGAGGTAGGGGCTCAACTGGTGTTGAGGGTTTGGGGGACACTGTGCATTAGGAGGAGGGGTGCAGAGAACAAGTGAGGTATGAGGAGGACTGAGAGAGAGGGGTCTTTGGTGGGTGTTGGGGATCTGGGGTGGTGGTGGTGAGCTGGGCAGGGCTTGAGGTACAGGGGGCATTGCAAAGGAGGCTGTGGATGAATGGGTATGGGGAGTGGTGAGGTGGGGTTGGGTTGTTGTAGGAGAAATGGATGCGTGGGACTGTGGTGGTGTGAGTTGAGTTGGGATGTGGGGAGGTTGAAGGAAGCTGTGTGAGAGGGTCTGTGGTGAGGAGGATGGGGGAATGCCCACACAAAACAGCTCTTTGTGGGTAGTCCTGGAGGTAGCCAGAAGTGGGGAGGCACAGGTTGTTGGAAAGGGGTGGCCTGGGACTGAGGTGAGGGAGAGAACTGGGGGGAGTGTGCCTGAACAGGTTATAGGCTGAGTGGGGCCCAAGAGACCCACGTGCACACACCTTCATTGCCCTTACAGTGGCAGGGAGGCTTTATTCCCCACGCCAGGGTAGATGTGAGAGGATTGG